GGGACGGTGCCTCTCCGGCTTCCCCGGCCGGGTACCCCCGTCCCTCTTCCCTCGTCGCCAGCCCGCCGGGAGGTGCCTCCCGCCGGGGTGGGGACGGTGCGTCTGGCGGGGGGGACCTGGACGTGCCGGCGCGCCGTGCGAGGGAAATGCAACTCAAAGGACGACTCCGGACGCTTTTAGTGCCTGCGTGGAAGCAACGCGGGGCACTCCCCGGGTGAGATGTTTCAGCGCTCTCCGGCCGCCGCATGGGAGAGCCGGGGATGCGGACAGCTTCGTGTAATTTGTAACCGGGTTTATTAGCTGGAGGGGAAAAGCACAAGCAAAGAAAAGGAGCAGCAGCTGCACTGAAGATAACACTGCGCGGAGTCTAATCTTGTGACACAATCATTAATTACTATTGTATTAATTACTGTTTTTCCAAAACAGTCCCTGCCCGGAAGAGCTTACAGCCCACATCTGCTGTGTAATGATACTCTGGTTTAGAAACGATTCCCCCATTAGGTCCCTGGTAGCGTTTACAAATGGCAACACCTACAGTATCAAAGCCCGTCACCTTGCAGCATGAGATTTTCTGTCCCATCGGCCCGGGTAGGATGATTTTGATGCCGATAAAATACATTTAAATATCAAAGTCTTTATTCACGTACGTATTCCGTCCAAACTTTTAGATAGCGATGGCGTAACTGCTTTATTTGCTCTTCATCCCACGGATGCTGCCTTATATCAGTAACAAACAAGCATTGATTTTATGGTAAAGTCACTTTGGGATGGGAATGAGTAACTCCAGGCAGTGCTATCACTGTATTACATGGAAATGGCCCAGGTAACAAGATGAACATTGATTCAGCATTATGTTTGATCAATAATGAAATAAGTAACTTCAGGGCCAAATTAAAATGCAAGCTGGCTTAACGCTGCCAGCTTCTGGGCTAAGTGACAAGGCTAATTCAGCAGGGAAATGGCAATATTTGCATTAGAGGCTGCATCTGTTGTTTGGTGGAAGAGGCTGGATCTGCAATAACGCCGGATAAAACTGCAGGGAGCGGGTTTGAGGGGAGCCCTGCCGGTGCCCGGGCCGGGGGGGGTGGTGGGGGGGGGGGCGTCCGCCCCCCCGGGGCAGCGCGGGTGCGTGACAAACGCTGCCAGCTTCTGGGCTAAGTGACAAGGCTAATTCAGCAGGGAAATGGCAATATTTGCATTAGAGGCTGCATCTTGTTGTTTGGGAAAGAGGCTGGATCTGCAATAACGCCGGATAAAACTGCAGGGAGCGGGTTTGGAGCCCTGCCGGTGCCCGGCCGG